CGGAACCCCAGGCCCTAGAATTTGGGGAGGCCAGGAAGTGCACAGCAGAAACCCAAAGCAGGGCCTGGGAGCAGCACCTGCCTGCTTGCTGTCCCTCAGCCCAGACAACGCACAGAGAAGTCAACCACCGGCCATCCGTCACACAGCACAGGAAAGGCCCGTGCAGGCAGAGGCCAACAGCTCCTGGACCCGTTTCCCCCAGCTCCTGCCCCCCATCTCAGGGTACGGACAGATGGTTCAACCACAGTCTGACAACCCCCTCCTGTGCCCTCCTGGCCTAGAGGGGCCAGCAAGAGCTCCCAGAACCCCCGGGAAGCCACCTCCTCCCTCCCAGCCAGCAGCTGCCCCTTCCCTGGCAGCAACCGGACAGAGGATCCCAGGGAAACCTACCACCTGCTCTGGAGGAGGCTGAGGCTGCAGAGGACGGAAGGGGCAGGATCTGAAAGGAGAGAGACTGAGCCCAAGGGAGAGGGGACAGGGTGTGGGGAGGGAGCACAGAGCAGGGGACAGCAACAAAGGCAGGAGGGAGCCAGACCAGGAGCAGAAGCAGGGCAGAGAGGGCAGGTCAGGGAGGCAGAGGGCGTCGACAGGCCAAGGAAGTGGGGGAGCAGCTGGCCGAGGGCCCCCCCCCAGCCTGGGCCCAGCCCCGCCCTGAGAGTGCAGCAGCCACGCGAGGTCACACCTGCCCTCAGGGCACAGGGAAATAAATGGTGTCCAGGATAAAAGGTCCAAGAAAGAATTTGTCTTGTCACCTCCTGACCGAAGTGATCAGACGCTGGTGGGCCTTCATCCCACAAAGGCCTGGGCCGGAGGAGCCCACCCCCGCCTCTGCCCGGGCGCCCAGACCCCCAGCTCGGGGGCAGAGCCCCAGCTCAGGGTCAGAACCCCAGCTCAGGGATCAGAACCCCAGCTCGGGGGCAGAACCCCAGCTCGGGGGCAGAGCCCCAGCTCAGGGGGCAGAGCCCCAGCTCAGGGATCAGAACCCCAGCTCAGGGATCAGAACCCCAGCTCAGGGATCAGAACCCCAGCTCGGGGGCAGAACCCCAGCTCAGGGATCAGAACCCCAGCTCAGGGATCAGAACCCCAGCTCGGGGGCAGAACCCCAGCTCGGGGGCAGAACCCCAGCTCAGGGATCAGAACCCCAGCTCGGGGGCAGAACCCCAGCTCGGGGGCAGAACCCCAGCTCGGGGGCAGAACCCCAGCTCAGGGATCAGAACCCCAGCTCGGGGGGCAGAACCTCAGCTCAGGGGCAGAACCCCAGCTCAGGGATCAGAACCCCAGCTCAGGCGCCCAGAACCCCAGCTCAGGGATCAGAACCCCAGCTCAGGCGCCCAGAACCCCAGCTTGGGGGCAGAACCCAGCTCAGGGATCAGAACCCCAGCTCAGGCGCCCAGAACCCCAGCTCAGGGATCAGAACCCCAGCTCAGGCGCCCAGAACCCCAGTTTGGGGGCAGAACCCCAGCTCGGGGGCAGAACCCCAGCTCAGGCGCCCAGAACCCCAGCTTGGGGGCAGAACCCCAGCTCAGGGGCAGAACCCCAGCTCAGGCGCCCAGAACCCCAGCTCGGGGGCAGAACCCCAGCTCAGGGATCAGAACCCCAGCTCAGGGGGCAGAACCCCAGCTCAGGGGGCAGAACCCCAGCTCAGGAATCAGAACCCCAGCTCAGGGATCAGAACCCCAGCTCAGGGATCAGAACCCCAGCTCAGGGGCAGAACCCCAGCTCAGGGATCAGAACCCCAGCTCAGGGGCAGAACCCCAGCTCAGGGATCAGAACCCCAGCTCAGGGGCAGAACCTCAGCTCAGGGATCAGAACCCCAGCTCAGGGATCAGAACCCCAGCTCAGGGGGCAGAACCCCAGCTCAGGGGGCAGAACCCCAGCTCGGGGGCAGAACCCCAGCTCAGGGGGCAGAACCCCAGCTCGGGGGGCAGAACCCCAGCTCAGGGGGCAGAACCCCAGCTCAGGGATCAGAACCCCAGCTCAGGGGCAGAACCCCAGCTCAGGGATCAGAACCCCAGCTCAGGGACAGAACCCCAGCTCAGGCGCCCAGAACCCCAGCTCAGGCATCAGAACCCCAGCTCAGGGGCAGAACCCCAGCTCAGGCGCCCAGAACCCCAGCTTGGGGGCAGAACCCCAGCTCAGGGGCAGAACCCCAGCTCAGGCGCCCAGAACCCCAGCTTGGGGGCAGAACCCCAGCTCAGGCGCCCAGAACCCCAGCTTGGGGGCAGAACCCCAGCTCAGGGATCAGAACCCCAGCTCAGGGGGCAGAACCCCAGCTCAGGGGGCAGAACCCCAGCTCAGGGATCAGAACCCCAGCTCAAGGGCAGAACCCCAGCTCAGGGATCAGAACCCCAGCTCAGGGGCAGAACCCCAGCTCAGGGATCAGAACCCCAGCTCAGGGGCAGAACCCCAGCTCAGGGATCAGAACCCCAGCTCAGGGGCAGAACCCCAGCTCAGGGATCAGAACCCCAGCTCAGGGGCAGAACCCCAGCTCAGGGATCAGAACCCCAGCTCGGGGGCAGAACCCCAGCTCGGGGGCAGAACCCCAGCTCAGGGATCAGAACCCCAGCTCAGGGGCAGAACCCCAGCTCAGGGATCAGAACCCCAGCTCAGGGGCAGAACCCCAGCTCAGGGATCAGAACCCCAGCTCAGGGATCAGAACCCCAGCTCAGGGGGCAGAACCCCAGCTCAGGGGGCAGAACCCCAGCTCGGGGGCAGAACCCCAGCTCGGGGGCAGAACCCCAGCTCAGGGGGCAGAGCCCCAGCTCAGGGGCAGAACCCCAGCTCAGGGGGCAGAACCCCAGCTCAGGGATCAGAACCCCAGCTCAGGGGCAGAACCCCAGTTCAGGGATCAGAACCCCAGCTCAGGGGCAGAACCCCAGCTCGGGGGCAGAACCCCAGCTCAGGGATCAGAACCCCAGCTCGGGGGCAGAACCCCAGCTCGGGATCAGAACCCCAGCTCGGGGGGCAGAACCCCAGCTCGGGGGCAGAACCCCAGCTCGGGGGGCAGAACCTCAGCTCGGGGGGCAGAACCCCAGCTCGGGGGCAGAACCCCAGCTCGGGGAGCAGAGCCCCAGCTCGGGGGACAGAACCCCAGCTCGGGGGCAGAACCCCAGCTCGGGGGCAGAACCCCAGCTCAGGGGGCAGAACCCCAGCTCAGAGGGCTGAACCCCAGCTCAGGGGGCAGAACCCCAGCTCAGGCGCCCAGAACCCCAGCTCGGGGGCAGAGCCCCAGCTCGGGGGACAGAACCCCAGCTCAGGGGGCAGAACCCCAGCTCGGGGCAGAACCCCAGCTCAGGGGGCAGAACCCCAGCTCGGGGCAGAGCCCCAGCTCGGGGCAGAGCCCCAGCTCGGGGGACAGAACCCCAACTCGGGGGCAGAACCCCAGCTCAGAGGGCACAACCCCAGCTCAGGGGCAGAACCCCAGCTCGGGGGCAGAGCCCCAGCTCAGGGATCAGAACCCCAGCTCAGGGGCAGAACCCCAGCTCGGAGGCAGAACCCCAGCTCAGGGGGCAGAACCCCAGCTCAGGGATCAGAACCCCAGCTCGGGGGCAGAACCCCAGCTCAGGGATCAGAACCCCAGCTCAGGGATCAGAACCCCAGCTCAGGGGGCAGAACCCCAGCTCAGGGGGCAGAACCCCAGCTCAGGGATCAGAACCCCAGCTCAGGGGCAGAACCCCAGCTCGGGGGACAGAGCCCCAGCTCAGGGATCAGAACCCCAGCTCAGGGATCAGAACCCCAGCTCAGGGAGCAGAACCCCAGCTCAGGGGCAGAACCCCAGCTCAGGGGCAGAACCCCAGCTCAGGGATCAAAACCCCAGCTCAGGGGCAGAGCCCCAGCTCAGGGATCAGAACCCCAGCTCAGGGGGCAGAACCCCAGCTCGGGGCAGAGCCTCAGCTCGGGGGCAGAACCCCAGCTCGGGGGCAGAACCCCAACTCGGGGGCAGAACCCCAGCTCAGGGATCAGAACCCCAGCTCGGGGGCAGAACCCCAGCTCGGGGGCAGAACCCCAACTCGGGGGCAGAACCCCAGCTCGGGGGCAGAACCCCAGCTCGGGGGCAGAACCCCAGCTCGGGGGCAGAACCCCAGCTCAGGGATCAGAACCCCAGCTCGGGGGCAGAACCCCAGCTGGGGGGCAGAGCCCCAGCTCAGGGGGCAGAACCCCAGCTCAGGGATCAGAACCCCAGCTCAGGGGCAGAACCCCAGCTCGGGGCAGAACCCCAGCTCAGGGGGCAGAACCCCAGCTCAGGGGGCAGAACCCCAGCTCGGGGGCAGAACCCCAGCTCAGGGATCAGAACCCCAGCTCGGGGCAGAACCCCAGCTCGGGGGCAGAACCCCAGCTCGGGGGCAGAACCCCAGCTCGGGGGCAGGGCGCCCGCATGGCCTGGGCCTGGGAAGGCTGCAAGGTGAGACTGGGCCTTCCCGGGAGGGAGGGTAGGGGGGGGAAGCTCCCAGGGCCTCACCCCTTCCTGCCCAGCAACGATAAGGAAACGATCCCTGTGCCGAGGGGAACGTGGGTCTGCTCTGCCCACACACGTACACGTGCACACACACACGCACACACACACGAGAGCGCACCTGCACACCTGCACACACACAGACACAAGCCCCAGGCTGATTCCCACCAACAGCGGCTAGTCCAAAGACACACCACAGAGGCTCCACCCACCAGACATCAGCCCCGAGGCTGCAGACACCAGCGGCCAGGGCGCGGTCATCACCAGGCAAGCACTGACCTCCCGCCAGCCCCGGCTGGGTGTCCACACCCTGGTCAGTCCCCCCAGGAAGCTCAGAGCTCAGGACGCCCGAGCTGGGGTCACTCGGCCAGCGCTCGGTGCCCGCGGGTGCGAGGACTCGCTGCCCTGGGTGGCCGGTCACTCGGCCAGCGCTCGGTGCCCGCGGGTGCGAGGACTCGCTGCCCTGGGTGGCCGGGTCACTCGGCCAGCGCTCGGTGCCCGCGGGTGCGAGGACTCGCTGCCCTGGGAGGGCCCGGCCGGCACGTACCATACTTGTCCCCGTCCTCGCCGCGGGCGCTGATCCTGCGGCCCTGCACCTGAATGTGTTTCCCACTGGTCCGGCTGTAGAGCTGGTACAAGCGCAGCTGCTTCCGGCTCACATCGTCGCGGGCCCGCGTCTGGTTCTCCACGTGGATGCGGAAGTCCACGTTCTCCTCGGCGGCCAGCACCTGAGCAGGGGCGGGAGAGCGCGGGAGCGGTGAGGCAGCCACGGACACAGCACACGGGCCCGCAGGAGCCACGCTGTTCCTCAGGCCGGGCCACTGGGGCTCAGAGAGGTACAGGGCCCTGCCCGAGGGCGAGAGGGAGCGAGTACAAAGCTGGGGCACGGAAGGCCCGCTGGCGGAAGGAGGATGGGCGTGCTCACAGCTTCTGAGAGACCACCGCGCCCAGGGCGCCCGCCTCAGGACCCTTCACGCCCACCGCGACCCTCGCCGTGCTCACACCCGTAATCCTAGCCACTGGACAGCTGAGATCTGAGGACCGTGGTCAGGAGCCAGGCCAGGCAGGAAAGCCTGTGAGACTCTGATCTCCACGTAGCCACCCAACAGCCAGAAATGGAGTCATGGCTCAAGCGGTAGTGCGCCACCAGCCTTAACACAAGAGCTCGGTGACGGTGCCCAGGCCCCTCGGGGCCGGCACAGAAGAATGGGCCGCCGTGGTGAGACTGACCGACGTCTGGCCGGCCTCAGCCCCGGCCTTGTGGGCCACCCCCCGCCCAGCCCCCCAGCTCTCCACAGGGGACACCCCTGCCAGCAGGCACCCACTGGCAGCGCCAGGCAGCTCAGGGGCCAGGCCTCCCGAGGAGCCTCCTTCTGCATCTCCATGGAGCTGCCCTGCTCCTGCCCCACGGGGCCCTCGCCGCCCGTCCCTCCGGCGGCTGCCTCAGGCTCCACCCTCCGCTCCACGGCCTCTGCCTTGGGTGGTGTGCCCGGCCTTCTCCTGAGCCCGCGCTGGCGCCCCTTCCACCGCACAGCCCTCTCGGAGCGTCCCCAATCTTCCCACTGAACCCGGACGGGGTCCCCGGCTGCCCCCAGTGTCCGCCAGGAGCCCCAGAGCCCCTCCGGGACGGCTGTGCCAATCGCTGTCCGGGCCCCCAGCCTCAGGGCCTGCGCTTGCGCTCCCTCGGCTCCGGGGCTCCTCAGATCTGCGCTCCGCCCCGTCTCACCCGGGGAGCCCTCAGAGGTGGCCCCCCAGCGGCCTTCACAGACACCTGAGCAGCCCCGGCCTCTGCCAGCTCCACGCTCCACCACGCCCCCCGCCGCCCCCCGCCCCCACCGCCCACGCCCCCGCCCCCCACGTCCCCCGCCCACGCCCCCCGCCGCCCACGTCCCCCGCCCACGCCCCCCGCCGCCCACAGCCCACGCCCACGCCCACCACGCCCCCGCCGCCCCCGCCCCCGCCCCCGCCGCCCACGCCCACGTCCCCCCCCGCCCACGTCCCCCGCCCACGTCCCCCGCCGCCCACGCCCACGCCCACGCCGCCCACGCCCCCCGCCCACGTCCCCCGCCCACGTCCCCCGCCGCCCCCGCCCACGTCCCCGCCGCCCCCCGCCCACGCCCCCGCCCACGTCCCCCGCCCACGTCCCCGCCGCCCCCCGCCCACGCCCACGCCGCCCACGCCCCCGCCGCCCACGTCCCCGCCGCCCACGTCCCCGCCGCCCCGCCCACGCCCCCGCCCACGCCCCCGCCGCCCCCACGCCCCCGCCGCCCACGTCCCCCGCCGCCCACGTCCCCCCCCGCCCACGTCCCCACCGCCACGTCCCCCCCGCCCACGCCCACGCCGTCCACGCCCCGCCGCCCACGTCCCCCCCCGCCCACGCCCCACGCCGCCCACGTCCCCGCCGCCCCGCCCACGCCCCCCACGCCCACGCCCCCGCCCACGCCCCCGCCCCCGCCCACGTCCCCGCCGCCCACGCCCCCGCCGCCCACGCCCCCACCGCCCACGTCGCCCCCGCCGCCCACGCCCCCCGCCGCCCACGCCCCCCGCCGCCCACGCCCCCGCCGCCCACGTCCCCCCGCCGCCCACGTCCCCCCGCCCACGTCCCCACCGCCACGTCCCCCCACCCACGCCCCCGCCGTCCACGCCCCCGCCGCCCACGTCCCCCACGCCCACGCCCCCCGCCGCCCACGTCCCCGCCGCCCACAGCCCACGCCGCCCACGTCCCCGCCCACGTCCCCCACGCCCACGCCGCCCACGTCCCCCACGCCCCCCGCCCCCCCGCCGCCCACGCCCCCACGCCCACGTCCCCCCCCCGCCCACGTCCCCCGCCGCCCACGTCCCCACTGCCCACGTCCCCGCCGCCCACGCCCACCGCCCACGCCCACCGCCGTCCACGCCCACCCCCGCCCACGCCCACCCCCGCCCACGCCCACCGCCGTCCACGCCCACCCCCGCCCACGCCCACCGCCGTCCACGCCCGCCCCCCGCCCACGCCCACCGCCGTCCACGCCCCGCCCCCGCCCACGCCCACCGCCGTCCACGCCCACCCCCGCCCACGCCCACCGCCGTCCACGCCCGCCGCCCACGCCGCCCACGCCCACCGCCGTCCACGCCCGCCGCCCACGCCGCCCACGCCCACCGCCGTCCACGCCCACCCCCCGCCCACGCCCACCGCCGTCCACGCCCACCGCCCACGCCCACCGCCGTCCACGCCCACCGCCGTCCACGCCCACCGCCCACGTCCCCCCCCACGCCCACCGCCGTCCACGCCCACCGCTGTTCCACGCTGGAGGTCCCCCCTCAAGCACAGCCCCGCTCCTCCACTCCGGAGGTCTGAGACTGGCTGCAAGCATCCACCCCAGGCCTTGTCTGTGCATGGCTGAGGCGGGGCCTGGCCCTCCTCGGGCGTCCCTGTCCACACTGGCCTGCTCTTCCACCTGAAACCTTCCCTGACTCCCAAGCTCACCGCTGTCCGCTGCTCTACTGAGAAGGGAGGGAGGCGGCTGGCCGGAGCGGCCTCAACCTGCCACACAGGGCAGACCCGGGCTTTGGGCCTTGCGGCCGCAGCCACCGCCCACCCCAGGCCTCAGCACGGGCTCCAGGAGAGGGCCAGGCCCGCCCCACCCCGGCCCTGCCCGAGAGAGCTGCCCTGTGCCACGCCCACCCTGCGCCTCCGTCCCCATGCACAGGGCCAGCACGATGAAGAAGATGAAGAATCACGCACTTCACCGCTGCTCCAAAGACCGAGCCCCCAAGGCCCCACAGCCAGCGCTGCAGGCCAGTCTGGAGGCGCAGCCGCGGGCGCCGGGCCGGGGCGGAGGCGCCATGGCCAAGTGTCTTTGGCTGGCAGGCATGCACCGCAGCACTCAGCGCAGCCGCTGGGAAAACACCAGCGGCTGTCCAGACCCAGTGCCCTGGAAGGCAGATGTAGAAACTGAGGCTCAAAACGGTCAGTTCCAGCCGGGCACGGGTGGCTCACACCTGGAATCCTAGCTACTCAGGAGGCTGAGATCTGAGGGTTGTGATTCAAAGCCAGCCCGGGAGGGAAAGTCCGTGAGACTCTTATTTCTAGTTAACAGCCAGGAGACTAGAAGTGGTGCTGTGGCTCGAGGTGGTACAGTACTGAGCCGAAGACCCTGGGGACAGAGCCCAGACTCCGAGTTCAAGCCCCACCACCACCACCAAGCAGGCAGACCCTCTCAGAGGCCTGGCCCGCAAGCCCGCCCGGCACGCCCCAGCCCTGCCGGGCGGCACACACCACTCAGCCTGGTCTGCGCCCAGACCTGCCCACATCCCAGCCTGGTGCTCGGGGCACTGGGAGGCCATGCCTGCTGGACCCGCCCCGGGGCCTTGGATCCTCCTGCAATGAGGTCTGGAGGCTGCCTGGCTCTGCTCCCTCCCCCAGGGCAGGCATCCAGCCTCCCCTTCCTCCCCTCTGCTCACCAGAGACCTTATCGATCAGAGGTCAAACCAATCTCCTCACCCCAGGCCCGGGGGGGGGTGGGGGGGGGGGACCCTGCCCAGCACAGCCTCCATTAATGATTTTCACCCTGGCCCGCTGGACAAGGTGCGCAGAGTGGCCGGTGGCCTTTCCCTAGAACGCCCATTTTTCCTCCATTCCAGCCGCACTCTGAGCACAGCAGTCTGCCGGCAGCAGCGGGCAGCCTCCATGTGTGTCCTTCCGGAAAGCCTGCCGGGCAGGGCCTGGGGTGGGCCCGGGGCCTGCGCTCTTCCACCCGGCCCCCCGCACCTGCTCTGAGGGCCTGCCTAGCCCTGCTCCAGGGAGGGCCCTGGACACACCACTGTCCCAAGTCCATCTGGTCCACGTTACTACAGGCTCTTGGTTCTGCCCCAGGAGGCCACCGGCGAAGGGCTGTGGCAAAGACTAAGGGAAGGCTGAGGGACAAAGGGCCCTCCCGACACGCAGGGCCCAGGGCCGGCCAGGGGTGTGGGAAGCCGCAGAGGGCGCTCTGGAGGAAGCTGGCATGGCACAGAGCCACTGAGCCCCCCCGGGGGGTGCCTGGAGCCATCTCCAGGGCCCCAGAGCCCCCGGCTTGAGCTGGCGCTGCAGCTGGGGAGGGAGCCCGCCCGAGGCCGCTCTGCCCACTCTGCCCACTCACCCTCCAGACAGATGCACAGAACCCCACAGCTGCCAGGAGGCCAGGCAGGGAAAGGTGTCCCTCCGGAGGGGGTGACTCCGCACCTCCACGCCTAGAGCATCCTGCTCCTCACCCCTGCCCCGCCCCCCGGCCTGTCCTTTAAGCTGCCTGGACTATGGATGTATTGACTGGCAGGGCAGAGCCATCAGCCTGCCAGAGGGCACAGCCCGTCGGGCCTGGGCTGAGGCTCAGCCTCCACCTCCTCCAGCATCTGCCTCCTCTAGCTCCTACTTCCTCCCTTCCCCTGCCCGACCGCCCCAAGCCCCTGCGCTTCCTCTTCCTTGAGCCCTCAGGGGGAAAGGGTACCGTTCATGCCTGAGATAAGGATTCTCTCAGTCCAACCAGGAAGGTCTCCAGCCTTTCTCACCATCCGCCCAGTCTCCAGATACCTCCAGTTTTCTCCATCCTTCCCCCCCCCCCCCCCCGTCTCCACCCCCCGGGGTCTCCATCCCCCCTCCCACCCACCCCCGTCTCCTTCCACACACACCCCGATCTCCTCCCCCCCCCCGTCTCCATCCCCCCTCCCACCCCCATCTCCTTCCACCCCCCCAGTCCCCACCCCCCCCGTC